AAACATCAACCATCAACTCCCTCCCACCCAATAACACAAGTCAATATCAACAATATAGTCCCCGTCAAAAAATTTGTCTGAATCCATTTAAATGTTAAATTCTGTATATATCTTTTCCATGAGCAGCTTGGTAACCATGTCAATATTATCAATTATTTGATGATGCATAAATAAAGGCAATATAGTCTTGAGTTATTTTATACACCAACACTATTCGCTACTTCAAGTAACCTAACTAAAAATACTCTATCAGTACTTGTTGCCATTCATTCCCCCATGGTATTCATTAACTGTATGCTATCAGTTTTATTTATGCAAAGGTCATTCATTTTTTTTTTAAATTGTCCCGTTTTAATCACTCTTATGTTCAAAGCAATAGTTTGATGTTTGTTGGTTTATCTCTTTTAACGTTTGACAAAATTGTTAGGAAGAAGTGTTTTAGTTTTCTTTCACGTTTGCACTTGTCTGACAACCCACTTGTTACAACTGTATTATCCATTTCTTTTTTGTTTGATAGTGTTTCATGGAAACTGTGGTGCAAGAGAATTGTTTGATGTGTACATCTTTTTTAACTTCTATGTATTATTCTTTTTAATCTGAAATAAACCTCAATAATAATAATAATAATAATAATAATTATTAATGGCTAAAACTTGAGTGAAAACTGACTACTGAAATTGCTACTTGGAAATGAATTGACTAAGATAGCAAAATATGAGAATTGGTAAAATAAAAAGTGGAAAACGATTCACAATGTAACTGCCCGGTAAATATAAAGATGTGTGAATAGAAGCAATATAATACACTTATGATACACATACAATATGACCATTTCTTTTAAAATTATTTCATTCCAGTTGCCAATTACTCACATGTTGAATATAGTATCAATCTAAACAATACAAAACCAACCTCAACATTGATTAAAATATTTACTGACGATAAATCTACAAAATCTTTGGTTGTCCATCAATGAAAAAGAGTAGCAAGAAGGAATCAGGAAATGTATCGTATCAGATCACAAACAAATTGATGTACATCTCCACAACTAGTGATGTCAATACAGAGTTTTAAGGGAATCTGCCCAGCATAAATCGGAGTATCATTTAGTGACATGTTTTTAATAACATTTTGACAGTCGGTCATAGGTCAATGGAAACTAACAAATTTATGAGCTGATTTTTATCAAATTTAGTACTTTTAGTAGTTTCAGACATGAATAGTTTTGGGACCATGTCCATGTATATTAAGTAGCTATTTTGCATATCAATTATCTCATTTCAACCTGTGGTTGCAGAATACTAAAAACTTTAAAGCAGATCTTATTTCAGCCTATTTAAGCAAAATCTCAAAAACTACAGAACATATTTTGAGCAAATTTCCCGTATATTGGTGCTAAACATTTGCTAGCTGATGATCTTGACCTCTAATGCTATAATTTCATTTTTATTTCCTAGATATGTTTTCACAAAAACAACAATTATAGAAATTCCATGTGTTCATGCTTTTAATCAGCCTCAGCCCCGAAAACATAGGCCAACATAGTCTACAATATACAACACTTACGTCTAATTAATTGGCCACCATAATCTACATCTTCAATCCAAAATTCATACTCCATGCCATTCAAGTGTCCACCAGGTTGAAGGTCATCAGATGTAATTAATCCTATAATCTACAACACATACACAAACATGTAAGTGAACACCAGGTCCTCATCAGTGGTTAATACAGTTTCAAATTTACTGAAATCGT